GCAATTCACTCACCTCAGTCTCCCAAAGCACGGGATTACAGGCTGAGCCACTGAGCCCAGCTGACAAGTGTTAATTAAAAGTGAGATGTAGCCAAGTGTGGTGGCTCATGCCTGTAATCCCAGCACTTTGGGAGGCGGAGGTGAGAACCAGAGAACCAGAACCAGGACCAGTCTTACCCAGAGAGGCAGAAGTCCATTGTTGGCACCAGGAGAACGACATTGGGGTAAACAGAGTCAGGAAGAAAGAAGGGTGAGCCTGTGCTGGGCACATCTCAGCCCTCCAGGCTCACACACAGACCCATCAAGTGCCCTGGCCCGCTGACTGCTGTCCTTGTCTTGCAGAGTCTGTGGCGTGGTTACTGCCTGGGCCCTTCTCGCGTTTCTCCTTGGACGATCAGGCCCCTGAATGCGCAGGGCCTCCTAAAGCCGCCCTCCCACCTCCACACGCCCTGGGACAGCCACTGGGTTTGTTTGTGTCAATCATATTCTGTTTGCAGATGAATGTGTCTCATCCTTCCCAGAAATTCATTTGTGTTTCAATGTGAAATTCTGTAAACACTATCAGTGATAAAGAAATCCTTGGATGTAGTTTCTGTGTCTGTGGCCAGAGCTTTTCTTTCTGTGAACGATAGGAACATCAGCAGAGGTGGAGATTTAAGCTTAGACTCTGGAATGTCTCTTGAACAGGCTGTAGGAGCTGGACGCCAGATGAACAAAAGGCGGCATCATTTCTGGGAGAGAAAAATAATGTACAACAGGCTTGTGGGTGACTGAGGCCTGAGAAGTGGCCTTTCTAAGATGAGTAAAAGAAAGCTGTGAAGCTGGAAGATGAATTGTCATGTGCACTGGAGACATTTTTGATAAGTATTATAAACCATAAAATGCCCTTGTTCATTTTAGAAGCAAAAACCTACCCATGACCCCAGGTGTACCCTGCATCAGAATCTCTGCGTCTCCTCCACAGCGGTCTACACTGCATTCAGCCGGTTTTCTCAGTAGCTTTCCTCTGCAAAGATCTGTACATGGCTGGTCTCTTTGCTCAATCTTGAACTTCCCTTGAGGGTTCCACAAATCCTACTTAAATTTGGACTGGGAGACATTTTTCCTATAGAAAAACAGAAGCACCCATGGTGGCTGCCGTACACAGGATAGTTTGAGAGCTTTTCCAGGGCACCTCCTGTCCCAAGGAGGGAGAGGCATGGGGACCCAAACGTGCTTTATGGGGCGGTATCAGGCACCTTACTCATCTGCTCAGACAGCGTCATCGTGAGAGTGTCAGGGTGCTGAGTGTGCTTCTTCCTCATTGAATGTAACTTTATGTGAGCTGAGGCAAATTCCCTCTTCTTTTTGAGCTTTAGGGCTGATAGCACTCAGGTAAGCCCTGCACTGATAAACTCACCTACAAAGGGAACACACTTCTCAGCTGAGTGAGTTAAGGGGCTGTTTGGCTTCCTGGGAAGGAGCAGGGCATGAGCTCTGCCAGCTGCTTCATGTGATCCTGGGGTAAGAGAGACACTGCAGTGTTTTTTTGTTTGTTTTTTTGTTTGTTTGTTTTACATGACCTTGTTCACTTACCACTGCTCTATCCAGCACATCTTTATTGAGCACCTGTTGCATGCAGTTCAGCAGGGCTCAAGGCACTCTTGTCCGCAGTGAACTGGCTGGCCCCACAGCCCTGTGTCCTGCCTGCTCCTCCTTAGGGGCAGCCCTGAGGGGACAGGGGAGCAGGGCTGTGCTTTGGGAAGTGTTGAGAGCTGTGGTCACAAGCTAGATTTTGTAGATTCACTTCTCCCTGGCCCTGTGGGTCTGTACCACTCAGGAATGCTGAGTGCCTTGGTGCCTCTAGACCTGCCAGCTTTCTCCTTACGTCCAGGGTAGTTAGGCAGGCTTGGGGGCTCTCCTGATCCGTCTGCTGCACCCCTGCACCCTCCTCCCATTATCCAGCTCTTCAGGTCCCTGTGTTGCCTGCAGTCCTCTCTCCCTTCCTAAGTGAATAAAACCAAAACAGACTGAGCAACCAGCCTCTCTCCCCTCTAAGCTCTGTCCTCCCTCTCTGACCCCTCTGTGGTCCAGCCACTCTCTCTTCCCTCTAAGCTCTGTTTGCCCCCCCTTGTCCAACTGCTCTCCCTCCTTCTTAAACTAGGTCTCCCAATCCCTGTGGTCCAGCCCCTCTTTCCCCTAAGATCTGTCCCCCTTCCCTCCCTGTGGTCCAGCCGCTCTTCCTTCTTAAACTCTGTTCCCCCTCCCTGTGGTTCAGTCACTCTTTCCCTTAGACTCTGTCCCCGTTCTCTGTGGTCTAGCCTCTCTTCCCACTAGGTTCTGTGCCCTCTCCCTGTGGTCCAGCTGCTCTCCCTTCCCCTTAAACTCTCTCACCCCTCTTTGTGGTCCAGCCTCTCTCCCCTTTTCAGACCCGCATTGGGTGGCCCGTGTCGTCTTTCCTGCCCCCACCAGGCCCCACGTGCCCTGGAGCCCCTGCTGTCTGCAGTGCTGCCTCACTTCCCTCTCGCCGCCCTGTGACTCTGCATTGTGGCCGCTCTTCTCAGGTTCTTTCCCAGGTCTCTGTCACCCTGTTTCTCCCTTGTGCTCAGAGCTTTTCCCTTATCCCTTCTGACATTGATGTTCAAGGACTCAGCGCTGTCAGCTGTGGACTAGTGTGACTCAGAAGTCTGTTCTCCAGCTGACTCTTCTGCATCTTGGTTCACCTATTGAGCCTTCTAGATTTTCCCCAGATGTGCCGAACTATTTGGAAAAATTGAACATTTTTTCTCTTAAACTGCCTCGCTTGATGGTGGCAGTGACCGTCTCTCCAGGTGGAGCTTCCCGTTCCTCGAATCTTCCCAAGTCAAAGTCCTGCCTCTAACCAGCCATCCTCCTCCACCCCCGTCTTTGTCCACCCCTCCTCGCCATCCAGGCTCCCTTCCCACCATCCAGAACAATACCAGAGCCTCCTTGACTCTAAGAGAGCCCTCCCTGCCTCTTCTCCCATCCATGCTGTGGCCACATGGACATACGAGGGGGGACCCCAGAAAAAATAGAATTTATAAAAAATTGTGTTTTCTTACGTCTAAACTTGTCACCTTCAAAGTACTTTCCATTTGATGCAGTACAACTACTAAGACACTTCTTCCACTGCTCAAAACAGGTTTTGAACTCATCCATTTTGATGCCTTTTAGTGTTTCTGCCATTTTTTGTTTCATCTCTTCCATGTTGGCAAAATGTTGTCCTGTGAGGACTTTTTCATCCAGAGAAACAAAAATGTCGCTTGAGGTGAGATTGGGAGAATAGGGAGGGTGGGGCATAGGGGCCATGTCGGTTTTGATCAAAAACTTCTGAACACTCAGCATGGTGTGGGCAGGTGCACTTGTAAATCACCTGTCATGAGATGGGCAAATGTGTTGAAAGAATCTCCAGAAAAAATGCATTGAAACTGAATGCAGCCTCTCACAGTGCTAGCTGGTACACTGATGCAGATGGGTTCCTAGAACACTCACCTAGTGGGCGAAGGCTGTATTACAAGGGACCCACCCTCCAAAAAAAATACCAATTTTTTTTTGCTTCTCCCCCATAAAATTAAAGACAAAAATTAGCTGAGCATGGTGTCTATAGCCACAGCTACTTGGTAGGCTGAGGCAAGAGACACAGTGGATTATGATCATGCCACTGCACTCCAGCCTGGGCAACAGTGAGACTCTGTCTCAAAAAAAAAAAAAAAAAAAAAAATATATATATATATATATATATAGTTGGGGGGAAAAAAAAGCATAACAACCAGGAAACTTCTGAAAAAGAATTGACTTATCCCACCTGCCATATGGGAGTGTATCAATCAAAGCTGTGCATTTTCTGTTATTTCAATATCATTAAGAATGGGTTATTTTTTACGATCAGTGGTGTGTCCTAATTTAATTGGTGTTTTCTTAATGTGTATACAATGGTGCACCTAGTAATTGCATGTTAGTTGATGAAACCATGGCATCATGAAGTTATAATTAATGCATTGTGATACTGGCACGCAATACAATATACATACAGAAATAGACTGAGCACAAATGAGAATCTCACTGTGATAAAGGTGGCATGTTGAATCTGTGACAAAGAGGACAAGTTTAGGGAATTAGTTCGAGAAAATAAAGCTAATTTTCACTTTAGTCCTTACATCCAAATAAATTGAAGATATGTCAGATTTTAAGGTTAAAAATGATGAATTTTATAAATAATAGAAAAAAATGAAAAATATTTCATCTTGGGATGAAGAAGGGCTTTCTAAGCATGAAACGAACTTCAAGTTGTACATAAAATGATTGACAGGTGTGATGTGGCCATATTGCGTGTCACCTGAGACATCGCTCATTGTAAAGTGACTGCTGTTTTGTGATCCACTAAGAAGGCCAGGTGCAAGGGGAGGTTGTACCCCCGATTCAAAGACACATTCTAACCTCAAATATGTTCAAATGAGTGAAAAGTGCATCTGGGGAAATGTAGGGAATGCAGAAAAATAAGCTTATTTACAACAACAACAAAAACTAAACAAACCCACCCAAAATGACTTACATGTGGGACATGAGCTGGTCACACTTGGTTAGTTGGCAGAAGGGCAGCTTTGGCAAGAGGAGGCAAAATGGATGTGTCCTAGCCGGGCTCGGTGGCTCAGCCTGTAATCCTGCACCTTTGGGAGGCTGAGGTGAGTGGACTGCCTGAACCCGCGGGTTCGAGACCCGCCTGGGTAACTTGACGAGACCTCATCTCTACAATAAGTAAAAAAATTAGCCGGGTGTGGTAGCATGCGCCTGTAGTTCCGGCTGCTTGGAAGGCTGAGGCGGAAGGATCGCCAGAGCCCAGCAGGTTGAGGCTGCGGTGGCCGGGAGCGGCCACTGTACTCCAGTCTGGGCGACAGAGTGAGACTCTAAATTTAAAAAAAAAAAAAAATGGATGTGTCCTGTTGCTGCCACCATAGTTTCCACGCTAGCTTTTGACGGTTTATCCCAAGGAGAGCGTTTATGGGTGATGCTGGTGGATGGTGGGTGAGAAGCCGGAGCCTGCCCAGGTTGGGCAGCCGGAGGGGTCTCCTTGCATTGGCTAGAGCCATCGGTCTCCTGTCACTCTGTCCTTTACAGGGCTTTTCAGGACTTGTAAAGGTGGGTTTGTGATCCGGCATGGTGGCTCACGCCTGTAATCCCAGCACTTTGAGAGGCAGAGGTGAAAGGATTGCCTGAGCTCAGGGGTTCGAGACCAGCTTGGGCAACTTGGTGAGAACTTGTCTCCACAATAAATAAAAAAATTAGTCGGGCATGGTGGTGTACACCTGTGGTTCCAACTACTTGGAAGGCTGAGGCGGAAGGATTACCTGAGCCCAGCAGGTCAAGACTGAGGTGCCATGAGCATGCCACTGCACTATAGCCTACGTGACAGAGTGAGATTCTGATTTTTTAAAAAAGGTGGTTTTGTGTCCCTAATTACATGCCATGTACTTTATCCAGTGTACCCCTCTAGAGTGCAGGGTATCTTCTGCTCACGTGGGCTGGCAGCACTGCTAAGTGATGGAGACTGGGCACAGTTCCTGCTCTCTGTCAAGTGGACACATACCCAGGC